GTAGATAGGTAAGTAAGTAAGCTTATTCTGTTCTTTTCAATAATAATAGTTATATAATATGATCGAAGATGAGAAATATAAAGAGAGAAACCAAATGATGATATATTTTGTGCTTTGTTTGCTTGATTGCTTTCGTGCTTTTTTTCGCGAATTTGCTTCATTGAATATTTCAGAAGTTTCGATGAATGAATGGAAAAGATATTTGGATGGTTAAATGCGAAAAATGATTCGCGATTATATTGCGAAAGGAATAAAAATTAAATTTGGCTGAAGTAGATGAGATTAAAATTTTAGACTTAAGAGTGGTCTCTTTTTCTTTTTTATTAATTTTTTATAAATAATATTTAATAGATTCCCTCGATTTTTCTTCTCCTCTTCTCCATTTTCATTTTTTATTCCTTCTCGTTACACCATTTTTCAATCGCTTTTTTTGAATAATCTTTAATTTTCTTTAGCGAATAATAAATTAGCGAATATTAGGCATTGATTTTTTTTTAATTGAAAACATCTGCACTTTTTATTAATTTCTAATTTTTCATTTAAAATTTTAAAATATATTACGATAGAATTAGTGTGATTTATATGAATAGACGATAGGTGATAGTTGATGAAAAGAATAATTTTTTTTGGAAAAGATAATTTTTTGAATGGTGATGATGAGGAAATATAGGTTGTTGATTGAAAGGTTAGTGTTTCATTTTTTTTTCTTATTTCGTCTTCCAGTTGAATGAAATGATTGAATGATTGCTGTGAAAAGAGATTTTGAACGAAATTTTTGAAAGGATTCATTTAAATAATATACAGTTAGATTGATTAATGATACTTTTAAAATATATATATATATGTATACATGGAAAATGAAGGCCAAAGTAATTCCAGTGATAATTGGAGCACTTAGAAGAACTGTTACTCCTAAACTGGAAAAGTTCGGAACCTTCATTCCTTCAGATGTTTAATAGAGAACACAAGATTGAGAAGGATCATTACTACTTACGGAATGAGAAAGTGTTTTTTTTTGTATTTAAAAAGTAAATATATGCAAGTATGTGCAAGTAGTTGAAATAATTTTTTAAGGTTAGATGATGCCAAAAAAAGTGAAATAATCATATTGTCCTTTTGTGTTATTATTATAGAGGTTTCTTGAATATTTGGTGCTATGCAAGTAATAATACAATTTATCTGTCAAATCCCAATAGTACTTTAATCTTTCATTATTTATTAAAGTGATAACATTGGAAATGGTTTTCCGATTTTGATATGCTTGATTGACTCGTCTATTAAATAATACTGCCACTGCCACTGCCACTTGCATGGCTAACGACGACGACGATTGGTAACGATTGGAGTCGTAAAAGCAATAAGTGAATGGTGACGATGTTGGTAATAACAAAGATTGGTGGTAGGTAGAGTTAGTTAGTTAGTTAATAGTGTTTAAGAGGATTGATTGAGGAGGAGCACAACAAGAAATATAAAGGAATGTGGATGTGGTGGGTCGGTGCTGGCTGTGTTGCTGCTCTGCGCTTGATTAGTTAAAGAATTATATTACTTAAGAGGTGAGAGAAATAAATAAATTGGAAGTATTATTGTGTGTGTGTATATATATGTATGTGTAAATGTATGAGAGTTTGAGTAATATGAATATGAATAACGATAGTGATGGCGATTGGACGAAACCATAAGTATATATATTATATATATATATATTATAATAATAAGTAATAATAATGGTGATAATTATGATAATGATGATTTTAAAAAAAGAAAAAAAAGAAGTTGGCGATTTACCAATGAGGATTGAGCTAATTGGTCTTATTAAAATAGGAAAAAGAAAGAAAAAACGATTTTACGATTTTTATAAGAGGAGAAGATATCGATGAGGATTTTAAATGCATTTAAGGCTGACTTACTAATGACGACAGTAGCGACAACAGCAAATTGCATGAATACTTTATTACTATTATTACTATTACTATGTGGGTACCATTTTTTACTTTTTGGTTTCTTCTATTTTCTAAAATTTACCATTTGGAAAGAGAAAATAGTTAGTATTAACCCTGATTTCTACAAATTGTTAGTTGTTCTTTTTTTGGAATTCATGAGTTTTTAGCGATAACCGGTGTGATAAGCGATATTCAGAAATCCTATAATATAATATATAAGATAAAATGGTAGTAAAATTATTATTCTTCCGTTTACGAGACCAGTTAAAAATAATTAGTAATTTTATTCAGTTGTATCGTTCTTTTGTTTTATTATGTAAAATCAGTAAAATTATGGTGATTATAGTTCCAAAAATAATTTTTTAAAAATAATGATAATAATAATAGCAGAAAGTAATGTTAGTTGAAAGCACTTCAAGGTAATTCAATCCGTGACAAGTGATGGAAACGATGATGATGATGACGACAATGAGAAAAAGATGATGAAGGGAAGTGGGCAAGGTGGTTGGGTCGATCGGTTGATTCTGTATTTAGCTGACTTAATTGATGAAATCGCCTGAATGGTTCTTTTAGAAAAAAAAGAGCGGAGATAAAAGCAGGATTTTTATTTGACGATCATATCATTTGCTCATTGTCCTCTTCGTCATCTTCTACATTTTTTTTCTTTTTGTTTTAATAATTAATTTGTTGTTATGGGTGTGAAGTGAGAAGTATTAGTTTCTATGGTGATTTTGATTTTCTTAGAGAGAAAGAATTCTCATTAAAAAGGTGTAAAAGTGATGATGAAGAAGAAAAATTTCATGTGGTAGCGTTGATATTGATAAGAGTTTTTAAAATATAATATTAGGGAGAGGATAACGCCAAGTGATTCAGATTGTCGTGTTAAGAAAGGCAAGGTTCGAATTCATGAATAGGAGTGAACTTATTATCAATAAAATCTGATAGTGATGCTGTCAACTTGTTTGTACTTCTATCGCCAAATATCTTCTTAGTAAAGATTTTTAAAAATAGTAAAAGCCAGCGAAATTAACCCATTCATTTATTTGCTTTTTTGTATTATTGGCAAATAATATAAAAAAGATTGGTTACTTTTTTATGGATATTATTAGTGATACCAGTAATCTACCAGTTGAACAAAAAAAAGATATTGCCAGTTGTTCCTTTCATTTCCTTTGAAGTTAACTATTACCTTTGATGAATTTTTATGTTAATGCAGTATACTATTAAAGAATTTTTTTTTATGATCACAATTATGATATGATAACAGTGTAAAAAGGTTTATTTATTATTATTATTATTGTTCAGCTTATCCATCTTTAGCGTCATCAATATCCTCATCATTATATTTGTAATCATACCATTATGCCTCTCTTAGACAATCTTGATGTGAATAATAGCCCTCAATCTTTATAAATGCTGATGATGCTAGGAATAGAGCCAGTCAGTCAGTCAGTTAGTTAATCAGTCGTCAGTCATCATTTAACTATTATTTAATCATTCAATAGTTCATATTTCCTCTTTTTTAAAGTCAAGCTATCACCATTTTTGTTTAACTTATTTTCTTCATTTATTTTATTTTTTATATATTAGTTAGTATCGCTGTTAATTATTTTACACTTTTTGCATTTTTTAATTTTCAAATTGAGTGTTAATTAGGATTTAAATTTTTAGCGAAATGCTGAAATTAAGCATGAATTCCAAACGAGCAAATGAGTCAATTAATGGACTATTGTTAATAAGTTTAATTTCAAATTATGGTTAAAATTTCTTAGCAACAGCTGAAAAAGATATTTATTTTTAGTACTTTTTTATAACCAAAAAATGAAACAGACATAGGGATGGAATAATGATGGAAGTTTTAAGGCTCCTGCGTTATAATCTTTTTTTTGGTGCTATTTTCTCCTTTAATCCAACACCCTTTGTTCGTTTTATCTCATTCTCTATTTTTTTTTTTTTATTCATTCAAATTTACAGTTTTTTGTGAAAGATTAAATTATAACGGTATATTTCTAACAGGTTCATAGATAAGTTTGATGACTTAGACGGATATCGATCGTTCTCTGTTTGGAGCTCTGATTTCTACGTTCTATAGGTTTCGTGCCATACATAGATCACATGCAGAATATTTTATATAATACATATATTTGAAAACTACATTAGTAGAGAATTTAACTGATAAAAAAGATGGTGATGGTGGTGTTATAATTTTGCTATCTATCTTGCGATATGTTGCGATATTTAAAATTGAACTACGAATTATCTAAAATTCGATTATCTAATTTTATTCATTTGTACTGATTTTAAATTCTAAATTCTAAATCAGTAGGTACTAAAGGATTTGTTCTATTATTAGTTTGTTAAAAAAAAACTCTTTAAATTTCATAGTAAAATTTATTTAGTTGAAATTTCAAAGGGAAAGAAAAAAATTGAGAAAAACTTATTATTATGAGAAAAAAATTTGCTTAAAATTTCTGCTTTTAGATATTTGAGTTCCATCATTTCTGATAATATTTGTATGTGCAAAAATCGCAAGTTTTTTTCATCTTCGAAATACATAATATTTGCTTCTACAAAAAAAAAAAAGACTGATTGCGTCTTTTGCCAATTTGCTACGTTGCTTTTTAAGCTTAAGGAAATTTTTTCTTTTGTTGCTATTTCACAGTTTTTTATATGATGAAAATAGAAACACTGCTTCTTGCTTCAATGTGGCTTTGTGAAAAGAAAATTCCTGTCAGTGATGAAGCAACAATTATCACAACTTTCAAACTTTCAAAACAATACGGTTATTCGTATAAAAAACGTTTTTTCATGTTCAGTAAAATAATTCTGTATTGTAATAGAGAATTGCCACTTATAAGGAGTCTAGGAAAAAAAGAGGTTGAAGTAAGCTTCATTAGATTGGCTTAAATCTTCATGAATGATGGGTAACCTGTCGACGCGTAAATCGCTCCTATATGCTTCTTTATTTCGCCAAATTTCCTTTTTTTTAAGCTTTTTTTTGGCTGCTTATCTTTCATTTTTTTTTTATGTGCGAAAGCTAGCAAAGCTATTAGACAATAAATGCCAACAACTTGTGGTTTTCCAAACTGTAAATTTCGTTCGCGTTATCGTGGCCAAGAGGATAATCGTCATTTCTATCGCATACCTAAAAGACCACAAATATTGCGACAGCGTTGGTTACTTGCTATTGGTCGAACTGAGGAGACTATTGTTAGTCAGGTAAAAATATTTTTTCTTCCCTTCCACCACCTTTTTTTTTATTTTAGCGTAATTGAAGCAGAAATAATCTTTCTTTGTTGCTTCATTTGATTTTATTGGAAAATGATGTCGTTGAATGTTTTATCAGTGCATGATTGTGCGATTATCACGTTGCATGTTGCTAACGCGCTTTTTCCTATTTTTATTCTTTATTGATAATGAGGATAATGCTTTTTTTATTTTTCATCCTTCAAGTTTTCCTAATTTTATTATTATTTGTTATTCTTTTAACCTATGAAAATTAAAAGGAAAAGTAAAGCGTTCAAAGAAATTTTCTAGAAATCCTATAAACTTTGTATATTTATATGGTTTAAATATATTATTTAACGGAGCGGAAATTACTTATGAAATATATATTTAATTGTAATTTTACTTGATTTATTTCTTATTTCTTAAAAGTGAGTCGAACAAAAAAAAGGCAGCAAATTATACAAGTTATTTGACGTATATAACTTTATGTATTACATTAATAATATAAGTTAGTTAATTCGCTTTTTTAAAAAAAAACTATATAAAAAAGTGCATTCCTATGCATTTATTTAATGAAGGAGAGAAAAAATGATCAGGAAGATTTATTATAATTATCACAAATTATTATAATTATCATTTAAGGAATACTGTTTAAATTTCGTATTTCTGAACATTCATAAAAAAAGTGAAAATAATAAAATTATTTGATATATTATTTGATATTTAAAAAACTGGATTTTTTGTTGGTGGAAAAAAAAATTTTATTTGCTTTATAAACATTTACAATTTACTTTCATAACTTTTCTATTTTTTTTTTATGTTAAGTAAAATTGGTGAAAATGGAAAATGAATTTTTTTTCACAAATAATTAAACATTTTTCTCAATAATTATTTTTATCTTCCGTTTTTTACATATAAAAATGAGTTTTTAATTACTTTGACTAATTCTTAATTTTTTCTTATTTTATAATTTATCCAATTTATTATTTGTATATTTAGATTAATTACGAAAGATTTTAAAATTTTAAATTTACTTTTAATTGAGAAAATTTTATTGTGTGAAAATGAATGAATGGCAAATAATCAACTAAGGTAATAATGATTGGTATGTAGAAAATATATAAATTGTTGATTGGTTATAAATTTTGATGTTTGGTTGATAAAAGATTTTTGAATAAGATTGAATTAGTTTATAAGCGAATTTAATAGTGAAAGCAGAAGGCTTTAGTTCTAAAATCAATTGTGATGAAATGGTGATGAGGCATTTCGGAAATATTTAAGTATGTATGTAATGTAAAAGAGGAAGAAAAGATTGGCCAACTTTAATGGATAAAGCAGCAGCCACTCAATGATTATGCCTAATCATTTGAAGTATGTGCTCGCACCATATCTATATGCTCAATTAATTTAAGAAAGAAATAAAGGTGATTACTCAGCATTATTCGCATAAAATTTTATGCGGTTTTTTAAAATAAATAAAATAACCTTAACTTTTAACTTTTAACTTTTAATAACTTTTTAAAATAATTTTTAACTTTTAAATAACTTTTAACTTTTAATAACCTCTATTTTAAATAATAAATTATATGTTTTATTAAAATAATTAAAATAACTTTTAAAATAACCTCTACTTTTTGCTATAAGAAAAATGGCTTCAGCAGGTTTCCTGAACATTAATAAAAAAAGTGAAAATAATAAAATTATTTGGAATCACTATCCAGAAGAGCGCACTATTATTATTAGAAACTACTAAGATATTGCGCACAGCCCTCACTCTTCTAGAGCTCTATGGAGAGACCGAATGTTCCACCACACCTATAAGGAGTGAGAAAGGGGTTTTTTCTTCTTATTTATCGTTATTTATAGGATATTTGATAAAAATTTAGGATATATTTGAATTTCAACAGAATTTTTTTATTGAGGATAAAAAGACAAACAAATGAATTTTATCTTAGATTGATGGAAGTATGATGGAAGTATTGTATTGGTGATGATATTACAGCAAAGCAGCAAGTTAGCACGTAATTTCTTCAATCGAGAAAATTTTTGCTCGATTAGAATTGCTGAAAAAAAATTTCAATTGTCTTTTTTTAACTTAATTTCATGATCTTCCTTTTTTCATTCACTTCAACACAAATCTCTTTGGATTTTTAAAATAAAGGAGAAAAAATCGATTATCTAAAAATCTAATTTCCCCTTCATAGCTGATAAGTCCACTAATATATACCGTAAACTTTTCCAGTATTTAAATTTTAACAATTTAATAAATTTATTTTTTTCACAAAACAATAATTAAGTAATTAAGTTTTGATTTAAAAATTTAGTTAAAAGCTATAAAATAAATTTCGAAAAATATTATTTGTCTAAATATTTTCTTTTTTCTAACAACAGCACTCATTTTCCCGGTTGAACCTAAGTTTAATATTGTACACCTCCGCGAGAATATCGAATACTTGCGAGAACTAAAGATGTATCGTCTTCAGTACCAGTCGAGTTTTCGAAACTAATGCATTCCTTAAATTCCTTAAATTATGAGCATGATTATTCTTTTGTTAAGATTTAGCTAAGATTTATTTATATTATTTAAATTTTATTTTTTTTTATGATACAAAAATAGTTCTAATAGTTTTTGAAAATTTATAATAATATTTTAATGCTTTTTTTTGGATTTAGTCATTTGAGTGTGAATGCATGTTTATAATCTCTTAATTTATTTATAAATAAAAAATGGAAAAAATTAAATTGAAATTTAGGAATTTCAAATTTTATTTTATAAAATTTGTATAAAATTAGTTGAATCTATAAAATGATAAAAAATTTGATTAGGCATTTACAGTTGATTGCCAGTTTATATATTTAAAAAATTCAGACGTTGTTGGTGAGAGCTTTTATCGCCTAATAACTTCCTAGCAAAAATTCTTATGGTTCTAATCAGTATACGAGGCTGGACCAAAGTTTAACTACAAATTGTTGTTTAAAGAAAAAAAAGAATATATATTTAAAATTATTACTTTTATAATTTTTAATTTTTTATCTATTCATTAATATTAATATTGTCAATACGTTGATTAAATCAGATTTTCTTGAATCCGTCTTTTTTCAAACAAAACTAATTTTCTTTATTCCTTTCTCGGGATATTTAAGGGATTTAAAAATCTAAATTTTATTTTAGATTCTTTTAAAATAGATTTTTTCTTCAAAATTCTTTTTTTCAAATTTTTTCCCATAAAGTAATGGAAATCTTTTTAATTTCAACTTTTAAATAATTGTTGATTTCTATATTTTTAAGAGGGATTAAAAGCGTCCTTATTCTTTTAAATTTCAGCTAAGTGAATCTAATATTTTTTATTATAATTAATTTTCATATAAGTTTATTGTTAAATCCACAATTTTGATTTCATTCAAAAATAGATTCATTACGTTTTTTCTTCTTAAAATCACTATTGATTTATCATTTTAAATATTTTTTTTTATTTTCGATTGTTTTTTTAATACCATAAGAAAAATATAGAAATTTGCTGTAAAATATTGATTTTATTAAATTGATTGCATTTGAATTAATTTATTATTATTATTATTATTATTATTATTAGATAATGTAATAAATGAATTTTTCTTTAAAAAATTTCGAATTTTCGAAATAAAATTATTTGAAATATTTATTGTTGGTGTGTGGAAAATATGAGAATATTTTCAATTCAACGGTAATCATCATTTTATTAAATTTATTCATATAATGAACTATTTGTAATGCTATTATTATATATTACTAGTTTATTATAGTAATTTTAAAATTTTTCCTTTTTGCTGTTGCCATTTAGAGTTTTCGAATAATTTCAACCAATTTACTTAACAATGAATGTGGACAAGTATTTTTTTTTTGTTTTAAATTACTTAAACATCTGGAATGCCTAATTTTTTCATTTAGAATTTTTTCGTTGATAAGTTAGGTTAAAGGTTAATATTCTTTTTTCTTGGCCATCTATTAAAAATTCTAGATGGGTTTCTTCTCAAAGGAACTTTTTCCATATTATTTTTTTTCAGGTAATGAATCGAAGTAAAAAAAATGAGAAATATTTTTTTTATTTTTATTTTTATTTACATGTTTTTATTTTTCAAATAAAAAACTGTAAAAATTGCAGTTACGTATATGTTCAGCGCATTTTGAAGGCGGTGAAAAAAAAGAAGGCGATATTCCCGTTCCTGACCCTCAGGTTTGTCATTTTTTCAAGAATCATATGATAAAAAACGATTTAGCTTAGATTTAGTGAGCAGTTTGTAAAATGAATAGTTAACTGTATTATTAATATTCCGTCTTGCTTCGATATCTTCATAATCTGTTTTGATATCCAGCAAGAATTTGAATAATTTAAAAATCAACCAGTTTGAAAAAAAAAGTGAAATTTTTGCACATTAAAATTTTTGCAGCTTGATCCACCAATATCAATAGAATTGCCACCAAAGGAGACGAAAAATTCGGAGCGGCGTCGAACAGCAGGCTTAAATTCAAAAAGTTCGCGATCAACTCCAAATTCGTCGACAACACCGTCGTCATCAACATCATCGACAACGAATAGCTCGATAAAACGTACTAAATCGGCTGCTGTTACCGCTGATTTTCTCGCCACTTGCAAATCTGGCCTTAACGGTTTGCTTTTCTTAATTTTCTTTTATTTTCTTAATTTTATTTAATTTAATTCTTAATTATTTTCTTAATTTTTTTTTTTGAAAAATTATATATATATATATATATATATATAGACATAAGCTTAATTGAAAATGACATCTTTATCTTTTTGACTTTCGTAGAAGAGGAGGGAAATGAGTGCGTGGAACTGGTTTTTTCTGCGGGAAAAGGTATATTACTGCAATTTTTCTTTCATATTAAAAAAATCATTCTTATTGAAGCAAAAATTCCATACTAGTTTTTTTTTTTTCTTGAATTATTGAAAGTATCTAAGGGTGACTTACAATATTTTTGCGTATTTTCCTTTTAATAATTTGCACGATGATCGAAAAAAAAAACATATTGATATATATAATTTTAATGATCCAAAAAGTTTTAAGGGATTTTTTTTGAAAAAAAAAATTTTTTTTTCCTTCGAGATTCGTCCGAATTAGATAAAAGCATTCATCCATTCATTCACTGACGATAATATATTGTATAAAATTCTCTTTTTTGTACTTTTTTTTGAAATTATATATATTAAAATGGCAAAAATAATATATATAATTATTTAGATTTTTATTAATCAAATCTCTTTTTTTATTTTATTTTAAAAAAAGTTTTATTTTTTATTTACGAAATTAATCGATGAAGAGCTCCCATAGTAGAAGTTTAATGTATTAATTTTCGTTCTTCTCACACTCTATTGCATACACGCTACTTTACTACTCATATACGCTATATGTGCTTGCTACTACTACTACTACTATTCATTTATATATTTATTTATATTGAGAGAGTCGTCTTTAGATTTTAGATGAAATAGCAGAAATTGCTTGTTAATATATTACAAATGCTTTGCTCTTGCAATTTTTCGTGCCACTACAAAAAAATTAATTTTTATAGCTGAAATATGATGATTTTAGTTGTTTATTTTTAATCTAATTTTTTATCAAATAAAGAAATGAAAATATTTTTTTATAGATACGATTTTTCAATAATACGATTTTTTTCAAAATATTTAATGAGAAATCAATTATAAGTTGGAATTTTATTTATTTATGAATGATTTAATAGTAAGTAAAATATAGTTGTTGGATAAATTTTATCATTTGAAAAAATTTCTAATTTTTAAAATTTGCTTTATTTTGAAAATTTTTTCAGTGATTTTTTTCCGTGGTTATAAAAGAAAAATAAAAGAAATTTGATTTAAAAAAAAACAAATTGATTGAAATTTTGTTTTTTATTATTTATTAATTTTAAAATTATTAAAAAAAGGCGAAATATTTTATAAAGAAAGAAGATAAAAATGTATGCATGAGGCTTAATTTGGCTGTAACGCCCATTCGTGTGATCTTTTTCTCTTTTTTTGTTGTTAGATGAAGAAATATTTTAGATGAATTTTAGATGATGCGATAAAAGTTGGTATATTTACTTACTTATTATTGCTATTACTTTTTTTTTATTACAAATATTTTCAGTTAATTAGCGTATTTTTTTGCAGATTCATCATCATCGTCATTAATAAATAAATCTCCGCGTTGCTTTTTTAGTCCATCGTCATCAGCAACAACTACGCCAAAGACATTGCATATTTTGAGCAATAATTTTTTAAATAGAAATATAAACGATTTGAGGCGACGTTTCGTGAACGATTTGTTAACAAGTTGGTTTTTTGTTTTTCTTTTTGATTTTTTCAAAGGGAATAAGGTTTCTTTTTTTGTGGAAAATTTGTTAAATGCGATGTAATCCGATTTCTTTTATGATATAAGAAATAGGATTCTTTCTTTTTAGCGATTAACAATTGTGATAATTTAAAAATTTAAAAATTTAAAATTTTAAAAATTTAAGAATTTGCATTTTTTTCTATGCTTGTCGTATTTCCTTAAACGTCTTTCTTCCATGACTGTCTAAAGTTTAATTAATATATTTCTTTTAAATACGAAACAATAAATTTAACTTTTTTATTTAATGTGCATTTTATTTTGTTAAATTATCAAATTTTGATCATTTTTATCACTTAATCCAATTTTATTTTTTTTAGTGAGTGGTCGTATAACGAATGGTGCTAATGCAAGGCCACTTGTAGCATTATTAGATGGACGAGATTGCTCGATCGAAATGCCTATATTGAAAGATGTTGCTACAGTTGCTTTTTGTGATGCGCAATCAACACATGAAATACATGAAAAAGTTCGATTTTTTCTTTTTTTTTTATTTTGTTCTGCTTATAATTGAATTGAATATAAATAATATCATTTTTAATTTTTTCATTTTTTTAAGGTGTTGAATGAAGCTGTAGCAGCACTTATGTGGCATTCAATAACATTGGAACGAGAGGATTTGGAAAAATTTAAAGCTTTACGAGTTGTTGTTAGGATTGGTACTGGCACTGATAATATTGATGTTAAAGCCGCAACTGAATTAGGTTTGTTTTTTTTCTTTCCTCATTAAAAACGAATCATATTTAAGACGACTCGTTGCAAAAAATAATCTGTAAAATAAAATATTGCTGAAATAAGATGCTGTCATTATGTAATATTGATATTATTGGCGCTGGACGGACGGCGACACCCAATGGTTGAAAATATTGATTTGAGAAAGGCGTCTCGATATTGGCCGATAAATGGCAATAGCCCAGCAACACACAATCACGATTATCTTCTCTTATAAGCTATCTAACCAACTAACTAACTACTTAAATGTTAAGTAAATTTTATGGTGGAAATAATAGTTGACTGAGGAAATAAGGAAATAAGCTGGCAATAATATACTCCTATTAATTTAGAGATTTAAAGATATAAATGAACGAATAATCGTTGTTATTTCAATGCTGATGAGCATTCGAAGTGTCAATCGAATTTCTCACGGATTCTCTTTTCATTTTTCCATTCTCTTCAATTCTTTTCATAACGAATAATTTTCGGATGAAGAAAGATGATGCAAGAAAAAAATTTTCAAGACGAAAATTTCTTTTAAAAATTTACACCAAGAATTAGTCACATGAATATTCATATGAATTGTTTTTTTCTGAAAAAATAAAATCATATTTTCTATCTTCTTTTGTATTTCTGAATTGATTTATAATCGAACAGTTATTCTTGCGAATTTTTTAAAAGAAAAAACATCGAAATTTCGATTTTTTTCTTTTGAAAAATTAGAGGTCATTTATTTCCCAGCCAAAATAAATTTTTTTTCAGGTATTGCTGTCTGTAATACGCCCGGTGATTGTGTGGAAGAAGTTGCAGATACGACGCTATCACTTATATTAAATTTATATAGGCGAACACATTGGTTGGCTAAAGCAGTTTCGGATGGTAGAAAGGTTAAATGAATGTTGCATTTGCTATTTGTTAATTATTTTTATTTTTCTATTTAAATTTTAATTTTAAACTTTTTGCAATTTTAGCTAGAGCAGAAATGGGATTTTCAGATTCTTGGAGTAGAACAAGTTCGCGAACTAGCTAGTGGAAGTACACGAATACGTGATGATACTTTGGGTATTATTGGACTTGGACGAGTTGGCACAGCAGTCGCATTACGTGCAAAAGCATTCGGTTTCAAAATTTGCTTTTATGATCCACATCTTCCAGATGGTGTAGACAAAGCGTTAGGCATCGAGCGTTGTTTTAATCTTGATGATATCCTTTTCAAATCCGATTGTCTTACTCTTCATTGTCCTTTAACTGATGAAACGAGGCAAATGATTAATGATGTAAGTTTATAAGGGATTCATTTGTTTATCGTTTTATTAATGAAATTTTATTTCATACTATGCTTTAGATTCTCTTTCGTTTTATTTCATTTTATCAAATTTTACATGCTGCGTTTTCACTAAAAAAAAATTTTTTTCTAGTAGTGTTGGTATTATATTGTAGACAAATCATTTTTCATTACAGGTTACAATAAAACAAATGCGGCCTGGAGCTTTCATTGTGAATACCGCTCGAGGTGGTCTTATACAAGAAAGTGCCCTAGCTGATGCACTAAAATCGGGGCATATAAGAGGTGCAGCATTAGATGTTCATGAACATGAGCCTTTCGATCCACTTTCTTTGGGTAATTTCACGATTATTTATATTGAATATTTATAAAATATATTTTATAAATTTGATTTATTAAGGTGATAATTATGAACATTTTAAAATGTATAAAGTAATATATGAAATATTTAAGGTATTAAGGTAATAATGTAGAAAATTTTTAGTTGAATTAGATAAGCTCTAACATACGTTATTAATATATAAGAAATATTCGTGAGAAATTTATTTTCAAGGTCCACTTGCATCAGCACCAAACATTATTCATACTCCGCATTCATCATGGTTTTCGGATGCTTCATGCAAAGATCTTCGTTCATCAGCTGCGCGTGAGGTGCGACGTGCAATTGTCGGCCGAAGTCCTCATGATTTAATAAATTGCGTAAATAAAGAAGCGCTTTTATTGAATCATTCTCGAAGGCCGGCCTCATCGGCTGCTTCCATCAATCCAAATGTATCAACATCGTTCAATTCGCTTGCAGCTGCAATGCCATCTTTCGGTTCATCGATTGCTGATGGTTTGTCATTTTGTCGATTATTAAAATCAATTGTTTTTATGATGATGACTGTAAGATTTTTCGCTTATGCAATTAATTCTTATTGCAGAGTAGTGATCTTTGCAGAACAGCTAAATGGTTTAAAGAGTGGCAAATCCCTTTTCAAAAATGCAGTTTAGTGTAAATAAGTTTGGGGGAGTTATTATTTTTTTGTTATGAATAATACATTCTTACGAGCGTGAATTGTTTTCCTGATCTTGATTGACAAAAACAGTAGATTAAACATATAAATTAAACAGCTTTACATTACTGGTTAGATTGGCTAGTTTTGCTGAATACGTCTCTAGTAAAAGGCAGAAGGCACCACAAACCATTTTTTTCTCCATCGCCTAGGCCCATATTCCCATATATATTTCCATCTTGATCATTTCAGGTCCTGATTGATCTTCCTTGTTTTTGACGCCATCCTTCATGGGATAGCAAGTTTTTTTAAAAGAAATTTTACCATTACTGGTTAGACTCGTTTTCTACTGGACAAATATGCCAGGAAGTCCCTTGGCTATAGAAGTAGGTAAGTAGCCAACATCATCTGGATGGAATAGCAGGTAGCGAGATTTGCAACAGTTCCTGTGATTGGCGACAAAATATATTGATGATATTTGAGCCTAATGATGATATTTTGAATCCACATAGGTTGAGCGAAAAATTGCTTTTAACATCGTTATATATGGTATATGATACTTCTGATGACACTGATTTAGAATATCGATAACGGTGTCCGTAATCCAGTTAGTTAAACAAAACGGTGAATTGCTGATATTCGGAACGATATTCAGTTATCTTTCCTAGCGTGAATATTTGGTTAATACCACACTCTTCGATTTGAATCCAGCTTAGACAAGGCGTATCATAACGTTTCATTGCTCTGGGTCTGTTCACCAGTAGGAAATCTTTGGCATTAATTGTTTCTTCTATAGGGAGTATATCGATTGTAGCTGAGTTGGACGTTGGATAATATACAGCTCAAAGAATGTTTTTTTGGTTTGATTTGAAATCAGGTTATTCCTATGTTGGCAGCTTGCAGTTGCAAATATATAAATCAGTGATATTTAGCTATGTTCGAGATGGCAAATGATTAAATTTGGTCTTAAAGAAGTCCCTCTATCGTACAAGTCTTTGATAGCCTTAATAAGCACGCCATTACCATTTAGTTCGTTTTAGAGTTCGTTTATGAATTCAAAATGGCTTCATGTTATTGCATAATCGAATAATATCAATATTCAGGGCCACATCACTCTATTAGTGGTGTCTTACTGCGCTGACCTTGTTGGTCTTGTCTTCAAGTATCCAGATAGTCAGGATCTATCACCAAATGCACCATGCTTTGTCAGGTTGCAATATCGCAGAACGACTAAAGCAAATGGTGATGGAATAGTTCAGTGGATTGTTGCTTATTCAAAACTTGATGTTCTACCTTAGGCAGGAATAAATCTAAAAGCCGGATAATGTTGGTGATTCACCTATATTTATATCCCTGGCAGAATTTATCTAATCCAATAAGCCAATGATTTCTATAATCCAAAGAGTCTAACCAATGATGAGTTTTTTTACAAAAAAAACAATATAAATAGTACATTATGGAGTAAATAGTATAAGATAAAATGGTGTAATAGTATTATAGGATTTAACTACTATTTATTTTAATAATGTTGTCACAGAGCGTCGTTTTCGCTAGTTAGGACATATTCACTATCGTCCAGAAAGGAGTTGACGCTTATTTCGTTACTTTCTAAATCCTTTGATAGTTGGCATCAAAAACAAGGAGGGCCAGTCAAGGCCTGGACTAATAGGGAAGATTATAGGGTGACCAGCGATATATGGAGGAATGGTTTTTATTCCTGCTAGCCATGGCGTCTGACCGAACACCTTGGAGACTCTTATAGCCAGCGGAGATAGGCTAACCAGTAATGATGAAAGCTATTAGAAGGAGAAGAAAGTATAAATCGATTAAATTTATTGAAGTGTAAAAATACTTTATACTTCACCTTTTAAATCTTACAGTATCATCAACTATTAGGTTAATCTGAAACACATATAAATATATATATAGCATAAATAGCATAAATTAATATTAAGCAGGATTTGATATTTGTTACTAACAAAGCATTATATGGTCATTTTAAAACGAATATATCAAATGCTACTCTTAGTTCGAATTTGGACCTTAGATCTAATAACCTGAAATTCTTATATGTTTAAGCTTATCAGCAATAAATTGGGAGGTCATAAATTTAATAGTACTATTATTCTGTGGAGTAAATTATTTTAATAGGGGGCGCCACTGCTGGATAAATTTATGGAAAAAAAACCGTTTTTCCCATATGCTAATTCTCTCTTAGCAACTAATAATTGATACTCTGTATAGTGCGTAGTGATTGCGCCAAAGCAGCTAAAAAATTTGTTGAATAAAAGATTTTCGTGATATTAATATCTGAAATAATTTGGTATTTTGGTACTTTTTTGGTTCTTGATTTTTATTTAATTTCTGTACACTATGTATATATAACTATAATCGTTCTATTTTTCTCTTACTACAGGATATTTAGGCTTCAACGGGCTGCCGGTTAGTGGCAATATACCATCTTTCCCTTACGCTAATCCTCTATTAGCAATGGGTAACCCGTTATTGAATCCATTGATGATGAATCCAAGCACTGCAGCACTCGCAAGTTTTGCTAATGCAGCCGTAGTCGGTCATCATAACAATCCTGCTGCAACATTATCCTCTTTAGCTGCGGCGTCAACTTCATCGTCATCGAATGCTACGTCTGCTTCGAGACAATCTCCTGCTATTCAACATTCTTATTCACCTAAGGTTTGTCTTATTTAATATGCAATGCATCATTGGCATGTTTTTTTTGTGTACGAGATGAAACATTCATTTTTCCATTTCAGATTTTTTTTTGGGATTGCAAATTGAATTTAAGAAACATTTTTTCAGATTTATAGAAATATAATACTACCTCTTAGTTCATCCACACAAAATTTTAAAAAACTTATTTTTTTATGCTACGTTTTCAGTTGGCCAATAATAATCGATCGACAATTTCGCCTGCTGTACGGCTTACTGTTTCTCCCGAACGACCACCTTCAGAAGCGAAAGATGGATCTCCACCACTCCAACAACCAATTCAGCAGCAACAACATTTCGGCTCAGCTCCGCCGTCGTGTAAAAGTCCAATACCAACTGTTGCAAAGGTTCATTCATTCATTTTTCATATTCATGGATATAGTATGCCTTTTTTCTTAATTTTTGAAGTTATCTCTCTTTTAACTTGAAGGTACCAACCATATCAGTTGATGTGACAGCTTCAAATTCATCCGATGAAACATCGACAACAGCAAAATTAGATGAATAACTGATGTTTCTTTGATCTTTTATTAGATTTTCACTTCATTCCTTCCCTTAATTTTTTTCAGTTTTTGAAGTTGACAAATTTATTTTTGTTATTTTCATCCAGTGTAATATTTGATAATGATACTCATTATTTTTCATCATTAGCCGACTGATTCATTTAAATTTTTTGAATCGGAAAAATAGTTAACATTACTGTCTAAAAATCTTTTTGAATTATCGAATGAGCAAAAACTGTATATTTTGATTGCTCGATAATTATTGTTTTTTTCCTCCAAATTTAACGGACAGTTTTCGTTAACCATTTTTGTTATCTATTTAAAAAAGCATACAATTAAAGATTTTTGTGGTTGGCATTATACAATAATGCATTTTGACTGTTTCTGCTTTCTGTTATTTTTATTGCGGGTGGAAGTTGCTAGTACTTGTTTGATATTTGAAAGATATTTAATATTTGATTTTTGAATATGATTTTTTTTTGGAGGGGGTAACATTCCTATTGATTTTTTTTTTTTTTATGATTTATTATTTACTGTTCGTCGCTGATTTCTCATAATTGTTTTTCTTAATCGTTCTTGCCATTTCAATTTGCAATTTTTATAATATTGTTTATAATTTGAAAATATACAGTTCTGTTTAATTATAGTATAGGTACATCTAATTTAAGGAGAAACTTTATCATCATAAAAAATTAAATGGAATTTAAATGGATTTAAAAAAGTTTTCTGTTTTTAATTAGCTCCAACTCATCTAATTGTTTTTCATTTATTCATAATATTTCAGTTCCATTAAATAATGATTGTTCGTATTCATAGAAATTTTTATCACTTTTATTTTTTCAATATTCACTGGTTTATTAATTTTTTCTTGTGGATGTGTTGAGTTGGGCAGCGACAAATCAATGTTGGAGAAAGGTGGGAGAAGAAGAGGAATAATGGGAAAGAAATGATGGGATAAATATTTTAAATAATATAACATTTGAAAGCTTATTTGAAAGCATTTGAAATTGATTGAAAGCATTCAAAAAGCATCAGTTTTTTATAAGAACGAAATGAATTTTATAGTTTCCTGTGGAAATTTTTTTTTTCTCCAGAATTCTATGAAAGATTATGGGAAAATTTTATTTATGTTCTTAATTTTAGCAAATTGATTTGTTTTTTTTTTGGACAAAATATTTTTTTTTAAAAAGATTTTGCTTAATCTATCTACTTATATTTATTTATATACATATATATACATATATTTATAAATTTAAAAATAACCATATAAATGCATTTTGACTGTTTTTACATTGGGTTTTTTATAGAAAAAATTTGATAAATAGTTTAAATTGTTGATTTATCACTGCGTTATCATATTATCATATCACTCAAAATCAATATCTTTAACACTACTATCGGATATGCTGAAAGTTCGAAAAAAATTGTTAAAAATTCCTTTCGTTGAATTGGACAGATTTGCATTATTCGATAGTTAAAATTAGCTGATTTCAGTTGATTTTGTTTTATAAAGTTGAATAATTTAGTTATTGAAATGGAAGTTTTCGTCATTACTTTACTTCGTGTCATTTATTATTACTTATGAAGATAGTAATTTACAATTTGTTTTGTTTTTGGGACTTTTTTCTTGGCTTCAAATCAAATTTAAGATTTTAAGAGTTAATTGTTGTGGGTGTTTTGTGATAAGGTGATAAGGCGAAAGAGCGATAATGATAAGTAAAGATAACTGTTTTGTTGGTTCAGTGCTGTTTTTTTATGAAAAAATTTTTTTATGAACGACATATTTGAAATGAAAATTCAAAGAATAAATAGAAATCAAATATCAAAGAGGTGAAATAAATTTGATTAATTCAATTTAATTTTTGTAGTTTTTCATCGTTTTTCATTCATTCATTAATGAAGTCTGTCGTTTTTTTCTTGCTAAAAAAATTGATTGTCTTATAATGGCAAAAAGTTTGAAAATATGAAAACATTAATTTTATGGACGAGCTGAATTTTAGCATTCTTTTTTGAGGGCGCCCGTGGGCTCGCTCGTGTGGCTCATCGCGCTCGAAAATATGACACGTATTGAGTTTTAATAATTGAACTCTTTTCATTCATTGGTTTTTGATCCGTACGAAATTTCGTACGAAGTAGAATAGCTCAGCGATTTGTTGCTCTAATTTTGGAACGCTAATAATGAAATTCTATTATTCCTAGCAAGGACTAAAATTTGTTCTTCGAAAAATCTAAATGATCTCTGGTGAAATATATTTTCTAATTCGATCGCCAAATAACTCTTTCTATCTGAATTTATCGGATTCAACGAGCCAACCAATGATGGCGCGTCTAAGGTAAGAAATAAAAATGATAAACGCTTGATAAATGATAAATGATAATGAATGAATATAATTACAATAAATGATAATCAACGATAATAAATTACTAGATAAATGATAATAAATTTATATAAGAAAAAAAAAAAGAAGCCAAATTAAAAGACATCGTAAAAAATTTTAATTTTTAACTCTTTTTATAATTAAAAATAATTAAAATAATTAGAATACTTTTAATTAAAATACTTTTTTTTGAAAAAAAAAGAAATAATTTACAGTGGAATAATGAAATTGAATCCATCGAGTCCTTTTAACCATTCGGAAATATTTCGATTTTTTTGTTGCAAATTTGTTGTATTATTATATGTTTCTGGCATCGTTAACGACGATAAACGACTATTTTTAAATTTCGTTTCGTTTCGTAAATGAGAGGATTGCAATGATTTCTCGCAATAATTCGCTTGATCGAGATCTATAAAATGAAAAAAATTCTTTTAAAAAATCGGATGAATAAAAGTTAAATATTTATAGATCGACCAACTGACCGACGGACCGATTCGCCGACTGGCGGTTCGACCAACTGACCGATGGACCGATTGGCAGACTGGCGAATCGACCAACTAATTGACGGACCGATTGGCCGACTGGCGGATCGACCAACTGATTGACGGACCGATTGGCCGACTGGCGGATCGACCAACTGATTGACGGACCGATTGGCCGACTGGCGGATCGACCAACTGATTGACGAACCGATTGGCCGACTGGCGGATCGACCAACTGACCGATGGACCGATTCGCCGACTGGTGAATCGACCATGTTTGGTCGTCGTCATATTTGCCTTTATCCGCCAAATCCAATACTTATAATTTTTTATTTGGCTAAATTGCATTGGCCTCTGCGATAAACGAATAGTGATTTAATCAAAAATTTCATTTTTTTTTTCGATTTTCTTACAATTATAAATGAGAAATTTTAGAAAATAATTTGAATTTTTCCTTTTTCATTTCTATTTTCCTATAAATTTCTATAAATTATTTTTTTTATGATTTCATTAAAACTTTTTTTCATTGGAAATTTTTCTCGTTTAACGAATAAAAAACGAACGAGAAAATCAAAGCGAATAGATTTGAAATGATATTTCATTGATTTTGCACTAAAATATATTCGCATCAGAAAATATAATAAAAACATATAAAACGACATACACAATTTATTTATGAAAAGGGAATAAAGAAAAAGCAATTAAGAATTTTTTGAAAAAATGAAAAAAAATTTTGAGAATTTTGAAAATTTAATTTAAAAATTTAAAAATTTTAAAAAATCGTTGTTCGCTTGTAAATTAATATCGAAGACCAAATTGTCTCTTCCTCCCCCCCCCCCCCCCAAAAAAAAAACCCACTTCCTTCTCTCCTTCCCGCATCTCCGCATTCCTTCCTCCCCCCTCCTCCTTCCCCCCTGCCTAACTAATTCATCAACAATTTCATTATAAATATATTTAAATGTTTTAAAAATACTGCCATTCCGCTCATTAAAGCTTTAAAGTGTGTTATTCGAAAATCCGAGAATGAAATTCGCAATTCATTCCTAAATTTCTTGCTAAGTGGTAAAAATTTAATAGCCTTCTGGGCAAAATTTTTCATATCCGACAAGCTAGCGTAGTAATAGTGGCGCTATCCTCTCAGAAAAAAAAAAATGGAAAAATTCCAATATGGCAAAGTAATTTAGCGATATAATTTATTGCTGTTTAATGCATCATTATTTTTCTTTTTATGTTTTTCATTCTAATTGAATTTCGATAAACTAAAATTTAAGATTATTTAAAGGCGACTTACCCGAAAGGCTTTTGATGCTCCTCAGTGGCGCTACAAATGAAATATTTGATGGGACAGGTAATGATAATTGCGAATCAGTTTTCACGTCCAAATCTTGCGCTTCACTCTGTAAAAAAATTCAAATTCATTAATTCGATCTATGAAAAAAACAATGTTTTAGAAAAAATTCCCTACGCAAAAAAAATTTATCAAATTTTCATAAAATTGTAGTTTTTTGAAAAATTCATTTAAGATTAAATCAAATAGAGAATTTTTTAAATAATTATTTATTCATATTTATCCAAAAGCGATATTTATAAATATTTTTTGATTTAGTATAATAATTATAAATATAAATTATAAATTTTTAAATATTAATCTTAAATAATAATAAATAAATGAAATAAAAAATGAATTTTACAAATAGTGAATGTGAAATAAATACTATAAATATTCAAATAAAATTGGTATTAATTTTTTTGAAGATTTTATAAAATTAATTTATTTTGTATTATTTATTTATTTTTCAAAGGTAAAGAACATTAATTTTTTTTTCTCGTATCATTATATTTATCATTGCTTAAATTCAATTCATATCAGTCGTAATTAATGATTTTATCAGTGATAAATAAAAATAAAATATTAAATAAAATAAAATAATAAATATAAAATTTAAAAACCTGTAGCTGAACATGAAGCGACCACAACGATGAGAGGCTTGGCCGTGAAACCGTTGTCTCAATAGTGAGTTGTTCCATGATTTTAGAGAATTGCCAATCGATTTGGTGTGTGAAAGCGATTTTAGGAATTTTAAGTTACGCCTTATCTTTTTGCGAATTCATATTATTCTACAATTTCTTTTTTTTTTTTTTTTAAGATAAAGAATTCCCAAGAAATATTCTAAAAGATCAATTTAGACCTTATTGCCTTCTAGAATAGCAAATTAATTAGCAACTGAAATATTCAATCTTTTCTATGAAAAAAGAAAAACCAGAATCGCCATTTTTATATTAATTATAAATAATAAATTCAAATAGGCTTTTTGCTTGTAAGAAAAAATGCCATTAGTAACTCGGCGTTCATTTATGCTCAACCAGGTATTTCATTTTAGACATTTCGATAGCCTTAGGCATATGCTTTTTTAAAAACCAATTAAAAGATTACAACAAATATCTCTGATAATATCACTGATATTGCCAATGAAAATTCTAAAAAAAAAAAAAAAACAAAGTGTGAAAGATAATTATTAGGTAAAGCAATTCATTTAAATAAATAAATATTAGAATAGAACAAGAATTTTAATTAGTTTGATACGAGTTTTATCTTCAAAGCAATTTGATTTATTCAAACATGAAATATGCTTTTGAAAAAAATACAAAATTGCTCGTTTTTTCTTTTTTTTTTTTCCTGTTTAACCAAGTCATTTGAAATATATTCGAGAAATAAATAATTTTTATAGAAATTTTTATAGAAATTGAATTTTCACATAAAATATATTTTCTTTAAAAATAGTCAATAATAATGATATTTAAAATAATACTTTTTTTACGCAAATAATTTATCTTGGAAAGCATTCGACTTTCTGGATTTTATCAATAGAAAACGTAAGAAAGAAACTCATCGCAAGGAAATTCTTGTAATATGTTGAATTGAATTAATAATTGATTCCTACTCGCCAATAAAATTGGGCACAAAGAAATTTTTAGATTAGATGATTTGCCTAGTTTTCCTCAAATAATAAAATTTTTTCATTTTCTAACTAACGGTGACACGAATCTAATTGGGAATTACGAACATTTAATATTTATTATTTATATAATATTTATTATTTATATAATATTTATTATTTATATAATATTTATTATTTATATAATATTTGTTATTTATATAATAAAAATTCCTCAATGTTAAAAACGAAAATAATAGCTTTAAAATCTACTCCTGGAGCCTTTTAAATGCAATTGGTACCACTATTTACCTTATTCCATATATCTGACGTTTCAGATTTTTTTTTTTTAAGTACCCTCACCATTACTGGTTAGACTGTTTTGTTCCACCGGCTTATCACATTACACAAATATGTGAGGAAGTTCCTTTAAGAATTACAAGTGAGTCGCCAGCATCACTCCGATTTTTGGGCACGCTTCTTCTTCGAGGAGTAGAACCTCAGTACCGACGCTCCAAATTGAATAACAACCTACTGAACCATTATATGCCATTTTAGTAGTTTTAGTACATAACCAATGAAATTGGTATTAAGAAGTTTTATCTACCTTTGACCACCTATGTCTAAAGTACATTTTACGGGTTCGCCGAGTATATAAAATCTCACATGATTGCAACCATCGTAAGGTGCCACTTGTATTAACAAAGACATCACCTTAGCTGGTTAGGGAATGTTCTTCGTCGTCCACCATAAGAACTGACACATATTATTTCGTTTTTAACCTTGTGATGGATGACGAGGTGGGCCAAACCTGGACTGACATGGTCGAGAAAGATTTTGAATATATGGGTGGACAAGCGATACATACGCGATACTAAGACGATGGAAAAAGAAACGACTTCTATTGCTGTCAACGATAGCATCAGATCAAATAGCTTGGAGCCCTTGTAGCCACTGCAGCCAGCCTAACCAGTAACGATGAGACCTATTGGAAGAAGAAGTATTTAGTTTCGCTTTGCCTTATTATAACTCTTTTTAACCTTCTTCCATCAATTCTCTTTTAAACTTCGCCATATTTTTCTGTTGTTATTAAGTGTGCTCCATCTTGTTCTTCTGAAACGTATTACAACATATGCAACCTTGATATATCCTCCTCACATCAGCTCATTTTCTACACCATCATATACCTTTGTATTCTTCCGGAAAACACCGTTAACATCACCTAAAACCTCCTTTGCCTTAATTATCTTAGAAGTCTCTTGATAATTTGTAGTTAAAAATTTTCATTTTCCAAAATTTCTTTGAGAACCTATCGAATACGCTGGGATGCAATAAAAACACATCCTTCAATTATGAGTTAGTTGGGTGCATGGAAGCTTTAACATATTACCAAAGCGTACTGTATCCTTTTATGCAGTTCTACACTGCCTTTGAAATTTCGACCTGCACTACTGAAGCTCTCCTTCCCTTTAATCTTCTTTTATACCTTTCATATTCTGCAAAAATCTTCCTCGTCATATTCTCTTAACACGGCCTCAAACCTCGCTAAAAGGGCTTGGTATTAGTGACGTAATTTTAAACTCCTCTCTACTACTTTGATTCTTCTAAGCCCAGCTTAGTACCATGATGCAGTTTTCAGTTTTCCATCTTGGTTTAAAGGTAATTTTAACCATCGGTAGGATGCGCTTTTTTATTGGCCACCGCCAATAATCGTTAATTTGTAATTTGTAAAAAAGAAATTTATAAAATTATTAAAAATTAAAATTTTTAAAATTTTTTAAAACTATTAAAAATTATATATTAATGAGCGATCTTCATTTTGCTGTCGTTTATATTAATAATATTATTGTTAATAATATGCTTAGCCTATTAATTAACTATTATTAATTTTAATTTATTTTTTAATTTATTTTTTTCAAATAATATTTTTAAAAAAATTTGTTTTTTAATTGCTGATTTAATTTGCTGTGTTTTTGTCATCCATTTTTTTGCCAACAATTTTATATTTAATTAAACTCTTTTCGCATAAATATGGTAAAAATGGAAAAAAAGATATTTTGCAAAAAAAACCAATATTAATGAAACTGATAAAGAAGACAACTGATGAATTCGGCTTTTACTACAATTATCGACCATAAAAAAGTTTAAAGTTAGTAATAAGTAACAAAATATTATCAGTAGATTATTTCATTCAATAGGTGCGCTGATAAGAGTTAACTTCGAGCTTTGAATAAGACGAGAATAAATACCTTAAATCTAGGGATGTTATTCGGTCAAACCGATGATCAAAACTATCTAACGAACTAATTCAAAGCATAGAAGAATAATTCGAAATGAAGGAGAAGGAGGCCATCGCTATTAATGCACCTGAACAATCTAAACGATCAAGAGAAGTGTGCTGAGCGGATAATTATAGAAAATATTATTAAAACAGCAAATATGGATATATTTTTTTATTAAAAGATACTGGTACGAATGTGGTCTTATTCATTATCATGCAAGTTATACTTATACAATCTTTAGTTCGTTCAAGAAGCGTTCCTTAGAAAAAATCTCACTGCTGAAACTTGATAAAATTACAAATAATCAATGTATGTTTATATTCGTAACAAAGTGATTAATCTTAAAAAGTAAGAGATTTTAAAATATATTCATAATGAGTTAAA